CGTTAAATGAGTAGAGATCTTAATTATAAATGAGTCAAAATCAATACGTTTAGCTCTAATATGACAGCTATAATATAACCGCTAATCATAACCAACTATAATATATTTTAGAATATAACTGTTACATATGTAACAGATTTTAAACTTTAAGTATGAGGTCTGTAGATTAAGGGTGACATAGGTGTACCTTAAAAATAGTCGTTTTAAGTGTGAGTTTAAGTACGAACTTAAGTATGACTCGATTTGGTAAATACCAATTTTGAGGGATTTTAAGTGTGACACTTAAAAATTAAGGGTGACACTTAAAAGCAGAGTTGAAAAATACGTGAGATAATTTTTTAAATACGCCGTATTTAACGTTTTTTTGCTTAGAAATAAAATACGTCAAAAATACGTTAAAATACGTTTGCCTATTTTTTTCGTAATTGCATTCAAAAACTTAATAAGTTATGTCTTTCGTTCGCAATTTTTTCAGACACATCGTCATTACGGTTCAATTTCATTTATTTTGTTCCCTTGAACGGGATTGGAATTTACTTTTGGAATTGAACGCAGAAAAATATTCATATTTGTGTAGAAAATCGTCCGTAAAAAAGTTTCAATAAATACACAATTAAGAACACAATTACCCAAATGAATCGTAATCATCATTGAAATCAAATTTCTCTATGTTTTGGATAAGTCGAAGGTTGGCATTAATGCCTACTAGCTTTATGGCCTTATCCTTTAGCACGTGCACAGTTCCCTTAAATCATACGCGAGGTGATAAACTACAGAGCTACGCGAGTTTTAATCAAACTTTTAACTTGTATAATTAGAAATAGTACTTATTATTTCATTGGAGCTCTTAATGCTACAAAATCACTTGTAACGTATTTTAACGAATTTTATTCAGCGAAAATAAAATACGCCGTATTTAACGTTTTTTTGATATTTTATAAAATACGTTAAATACGTATTTTTCAACTCTGCTTAAAAGAGAATTTCGTGAATACCATTTGTAGAGTTGCCACTTAAACTCCTTTTTAAGTGCGACCTCATCCTTAAACTGCTGTTTAAGTATGACCTAAAGGTTGGTAAATACGGCCCTTAGGCCCCTTATTTGCAAATGAATGGGAACCAAAATTATGAACTATAATAATAATAACTGTATAAGGTGCCAGATTTAAAATTATAACCCCCAGTTCCATAGCGGATATTATGCCAAATTATTAGACGGAGATCGTCAACTAATATTTCTTCGGATATTTCTCCGGTTTGCAGTTCCATAACCTTATCCGGAGACCATATACGGTAATTTTGTTGATTCTCACAGATACAATATCATCCGATCCTCTATCGGAATTATCTCAACAGACGAAATCATTTGGAGACGTGTTGGTCAAACTGATTTGCAGTAACACGCACGTGTTTGTTGATGATATTCAAGGACAGTTATATCATTTTATTTCCTCCAATCGGCTGAGTACATGTTTAAGAGATTTAAAGAATTATCCACGACTAACTGGGTCTGGATCGCTTGTGACTTGACCCAGATAACCGTAGCAAATGCTAATAAGGACCCTTTTTATTCCCAGCCGTTTACACTGCAGATGCCCCCGGAAAATCGCGATACTTTATCGCATAATTTGAGAAATACTTGCGATTTAGCTGGTATTTTATCAAAGATAAGGGAACAGTTAGTTGAGTGCATTCCAAAGACGGAAATTAGAGATATAGATATTGTATTTCCATTACTAAAGCCAGGGCACATCATTCACGGACCACGGACTACCTTGCACGTCATTGAAAAGAAAGTTGATCGGAACGACATGAGTCTGATTGATAGAATCACGACAAAAGAACTAAACAAATTGCTTAACACAGATTGAGATGGATCATGTAGCTTTGATATTGGTCTAGTTCACCAGCTTCACATGACCAACATGTCAAAAGAAACATTTCCGATGTTATCACAGAGAGTAGAAGAGCAACCTCGCACCACCAAGAACAGGATAGAATTCTGTGAAGGGTACTACTGCTACTCGGCTGAGTACCCAGCAGTCGTTGTGATTAAGGATCATTGACCTAACCTCCAGGATAAAGCGCCCCTTCAACTTCTGATGTCCAGAGCTAGAGTTTATTGTTCCGTTATATTGTTTACACCAAGAAGAGAAACACTTTTAGAGCATGAGTTACTGGGTGATTTGTTAAATAAACTTAAAGATGATGTTAAGATAATTCGATATGAATGAGCAGCAGTTAGCACATAATTAGATCTGATAGTGAGATTTTGATAGTTCATTCAGAATCTTCTACATTACATAAACAATCATTTTCATGTTTAACTAGCCTGACAAGTGACCAACAAATTTGTTTGCAGATTATTTCTCAGGGAAGCGTTTTAATCCTATTATAATTATTTATGTGTCATGGGATTATAATTAAACTATTTTCAATTTCATATCCTCAGGGCCCTTCGTAAAAATGTTCAAAATTCTTGGAGTGATTTTAGATTTAGTGGAAATGATTTCTTTGTCCAGCTGTTCAACTTCAGATAAGATGTTTTACAGTTTCACAAAACTTTTTTGTTGAACATTTGCAAACTACCTCTTCAACTCATTGTTGAGTTAAACTTAAGGACACGTTTTTTTTTAAGTGTGGTGAAAATGACTTTGAGTGCCATGACACTTTTGACAGTGTAAGTGAAATGACTAGTGACTAGAAAGTGTTGCACAGATATGCCTTCAATCTTAACTGCCCCTGTAAGGAAAATCCATTACTTAGTTAATATGTCATAATATAGTACCAAGGCAGTGCCAGTTTTCAGCATTTTGGACTATAATGTTGAAAACGCCCATAAAAAACTGAATTTTGCGACTTTTCTGTTCAAAATTCAGATTATGTCTCAGAATTATTCAAAGAATATTTGGATTTTGGTAGGAATACTTGAACTGTGCTCAAAATAAGCAAAAAGTCATTTGTTTGGAAAAATTTCTAGTTTGGTCGAAGGGGTTGTACAAGGCCCATACTTTTGATCAGCTTGTGAATGAACTGTAACAACTTTCAATAAACGTTGGTCTGAAATAATGTAACCTAGGAAAAACATATTGTGTGCCTGTATTCAGTAAAAATTCACTCACAAAATTACAATTGATTTTTTTACATTGTAGTAGCTAGACAGCAACAAATTATAACGTTTTTCAATCATACTGTCGAGATTAAGTCTGCTCAACAGCATTCTGTTCGAAAATCAAATTAAAAGTGTGTCAGTTTTCAGTAAAAAGTCATTTTTAGGTCAAATTCATCACGATTAAAAATTTAAAAGAAATGACTCTTTGCTGAATATTGGCACTATACAATTGTTGTCTAACAGCATAGGCAGGTTCATCAAGATGATTCTTCACAAAATTTTACGATATTGTGTGTTCTAATTCAGCAAAAAGTCATTTTATAAATAATATTTTTAGCTTGTAATCTTCATAGAAATGACTTTTTGCTGATTATTGGCACGATAAAGTAGATTTCTGACAACAATATTATGTTCATCATGGAAATTTTGTACATACTATTGATGTTTGAAGTTCATTGTGCCAGTTTTAAGTTAGTTATAGCAGGTTATCACAACACTGCTTACAAAGCAAAAATTTTATGTGATTTACCATTGGTATATGCCTAGAAAAAGAAGTCATTTTAAGCTGATTAATGGCACACAGTGCAACAAAATTGTGCCACATTAAACGAAAAAAGGCACACCGCTCCCTCAAACAATATTCTGAACTAAAAAGAGTGCCATTTAGCAGTAAGAATGACTATTTCTGTCAAATAAGTCACTTTTTACTGATTTTCAGGACACATATGCTGTTCAAATTTTCAGGATGTAACTAAACTAAGATTTGTATCTGCAACATAAACAATTCGGTGGTTTGAGATGATTAATAATGCTGATATTGACTTATAATAATTGGTAATTCCCACGTTGGCTGCAGCAGTCACTACAGCTGATTAGTGGCACTCTCATATTATTATCTGTTTTTGACCCCTTTATGAACACATTACTTTTCGAAATAGATGCTTAAACTAACACTAGTACACCCATGGATCAAGAAATAGACAATTTTTGTCTTTTTACATCATTTATCTATATGACTGATATGCTGAATTTGGGCACTCGGGACATAATTGAGTGTAAGCAGTAAAGAGTTCAAGCCTTCTTTTAACTGATTAATGGCACCTTCAATCTAAAAGTCAATATGGTGACTGAACAAGAGAACTGAAATTTCGATACTTATTTCATCAATTAGAAAAAATTAAATTTCAAGCTGATACATGAGTGACTTTTTGCTGATGGCTGGCACATAAACATGTAGGAATTAGTTTAAAGACACAACCAATCATTGTCTTATCCAGAAAAAAACACAGTTATGCCTTGATCTTTTTAATATTTTGACAAGAACCATCAATAGAGCAGTCGTATTCAGATATAAAAAAGACTTTTTACTGACTTCTGTCACTTACTGGAATTGCTAATAATGACTAAAATGCTGAAAACAGTTACTCACTCCAATCTACTAGTGTAATGTGAACAATATTTGAGTAAAATATGGCGAAATCTATGGAATTAGTCAATTGGAGGTTAAAATGGTTTGCTGATTTTTGGCACTCAGTTTAATTGCTCATAAGTCATATTCTGCTTGAGCCTGGCACTTCGTTTTTTCAAATCACAACTACTGAATATTTTCACTTCATCTTATGAGCAAATTTATGGTTGCACTTTAAAAAGCACTGCGACTTTTTCCTCATTTTGTGCACTCTACTTTGAAAAAGGTGAAATCAGCAACTCACCACACTTAAAAAAAAACGTGTCCTTAAAATATATTTGTTTGGCGTAACTTGTTTGGCTGAACTCAACGGCAAATTGGCGGCTTTTACTTTGTCCTCACGCCAAAAGCCTCCACATTGACAAGTTAACATATTTAAGCATATTATATCCCGAAATTAAACAAAGAAAACAGCTGATTACAGAATTTTGATAAACATGACATTGATAAATATAATGGCTACATAGAATCAGCCGTGAAAATTGTATCGATTATACTTAAATATCAACTTGTATTAATAATATTGATAAATAAGAATTACATTTTAAGATATAAATACGGCAAAAAACCAGAAGTTCTCTTGGGAGAAAAACTGGAAAACAACAAACCAAACAACATTGCACATTCAAAAATAACAGATAGTATATTGATGTTATTGTATTGATTATGATAGAAAACCCGATAAAAATTATAAAATATAAGAGTAAAGTAGGAGAATACAAAATATTCCTTTAAATCGTGAAAACCTGGCTGTGCACAAATTTGGACAAAAATTTCTATTATTTAGCTTAATTTAAAACCAGACGTCAGACGTGAAAACATAAATAGAAATCAGCTAAAATTCTTCACAGTATTATAACTAGAAGGTAAAACTATCACTATCTTCGTGTTACAAACAACAGCATTACGTTATGATTTATGCGATTAAATAAATGAACTAATGAAAATTGCCATAATCTCAATTAACAAAGTTATTTGAAAATTCTCGTACGAATGCAATATTAAAAGGGGCGAAATGATTTAATTAAAAAGCTATAAATAGTTGTATGCAAATAAATTCATGCGTATATTTGAAATACGAAAGTTCGAATTCATATTAAATATAGATAAATACTGCCGTTAAGGCTCAAAATTGAAGTTAAACAATCATAGAAACTAAGCGTGGTATTCAAGAAATCTTGACCACAATTTTATAACTGCATCTCCACTGACATCATTTGTAAAATGCAATATCCAAATTCCAACATCTACCATCGGAATACGTAAATACTAGAAGTGAATAAAGAATTAGTAAGTACTGTGTACAGTGATTTCACACGCACTCAAAAACTTTTAAAATAAAGCAGTATAATGTTATGTTAATGTAGTAACAGATGTTATGTCCATTCTTTTCATGCAAAAAACTTATCGGTCCCTTTACTTTGTAGACGGCCCTAATGTCAGCGAAATAAGGACCATCTTAAGTTTTGTTAGCCCAAACTAAAAAAGGACCGACAGAGTTTTACACTATAGACAATTATTACAGCTTGAAACCAGGAAATGTTGTAATTTTCTGTTCGTCGCATCAACTGCTCGGTGACAAATACTACTTAACCAAGAGATCAACTTCAGATCTGAGAAACTTAATTTTAAAGGTCCATGTTTTAAACGAGATAAACTAGTATGAGGATTTAGTAATGAAGCATTTTCACCGGAGCAGATTGGCGGACGAACTATCAAATATATGAATCTCTAGCTAAACCAGGCGGGATATCAGTTAAATCTATCTTTTAACAACAAAATATAGGTCTAAAGACCTCGGCTTAATTTAGTCTAACGGCATTACTTCTACCAATTAAGTCAATAATTAGTCATTGCAGTTTTTACAGTTTACACCGAAGAACTTTCCAAGATCGTAAGTTCGCAATTTTCAAAAGTTATCAAAATTTGTCAACATATTGGGAACTCTTATAATTGAAAAAGTGTCAATGAGGCCTGACCTCAAAGATTCCACGAAACGCTAAACAACATTTCAACTACGATCTGGAAAATTTTCGGGTGCAATGTGTAGATCAAATTTACCAATTGTGCGACGTAAATGTAAGGTACGACTCAGCTTCAATCAATGCTAAATTCAGAAAAAAAAGAAGACTGATCAAGAATCTACTCTCAGTATCGAACAAATGATATTGAGCATGAGGTGAGTCACGTGCAAATTTCAATAAGAAAATGTTATGATTAACTTATAAACGCATGCTAGGAAATCGCACGTGACACACACAAATTCAAGTACAACCGTTCAATAATAATCTCGTCAACAGAAAAAAGAAAAAAAAGGGCTATAACTATACTCTAATAGTGTATTTGTAATAGATACGGTCATGTGAGGGAATTAAACCCCAAATACAATGATCACGGATTAAACATATATCCTTCTTGGCCCTGTGCGAATAACTCAAGTCAATCCAACATGGCCTGGGCCCCAATAAACCTCAAAAATCCTTGAGAAATTCGGGCATTCAAAAACAAACTCAGCCAGGGAAAATATCAAAACTTAATCAAATAATCCAAGATATATAAATAATCGAGCCTTAACACAAGTACATTGTACGTGCAGGATGTATGCATGCGTATGATTGGGCATGGGAGGGCGAATTAATTATTAAATTTATCAAATTTATGTTCATCAAATTAACAAACTATTACGAACAGCTAATAAATAGATAAAATGCGAAATTGCTGTGATTAAAAGTATTTGAAGTAGAAAGAATACAAATTGAGCGCTGCGAAAACACTCGTAGAGGAAGTGACATCCTATGATGGTTGTCAAGGTGACACAAGGTGTTGTCAAGGTGACAATGTAGTATCTCCCCCGTCGTTACACTCATCACATGACGTTGAGGGCCTTCTTGCACGCCATGTTGATTTTATACTGCAGGGTCTTAGAAATGAGATAGGTTAGACTGGAGCGAATACAGTATGACTCCAATTTGCCGTATAGTTTGGAGAAAAGAAGAAATACAGTAAATGGGGGTAAGATGAGGTAAATCTGGGTTTTACTTCATAGTTTGTTACGTAAAGACACGACTGAAGTATCGAAAGTCAGAATCCCGGTGAAAGATCTGTAAAATCGAAAATCACCAAATTGGGACAATTGTGGGACAAAATTGAATGATAATAAAAAACATTGTGTACCTGTATACCATCAGGAGTTCCAGCAGACTTCAAGTTAACGAACTGTTCATTCTGAGGGCTCTGTCGTAGGTCAATCCTCGTTTCTATAACAGGAGAGAAAGTGTTGTTCATTCTCAAGTCCAAAAGTTCATTCTTAAGTCCAAAACATAATGTTATACGTCTTTAACTTTGAAATACTAAACTTGGATGAGGAAAAAAACTGCAGATCAATTAAATTTAATTAATTAATTGACTTACGGGTCATTTGTTCCAGTTGTGGTTTGATGGTTTCAATCTTCTGTCCCACATAGAGTGGAATAGTAGTATTCCACTCCACCATGTTTCCTGTAGTCAGCCCTGGAGTTCCTGCAACTAAGAGATATGGTAGTTTGAATTACAGAACAACGCTACTGAACCACGCTAGTACAGAACCACGCTACTGATCAAACCAGACACTGGCCTCAGTGGGGTCTAATTAATATTCATTTTATAGAAGTTGATTGAAGATAAATGCCTCTATTATGTATTATCCATCCGGTCTAAACCGTCTCAAGTGTTCAAACTGTTAACTGTTAACTGGAGGCTAATAAAAGAGAAAGGCAGCTATAATTGAAATTACCCTCTGAGGCTCCATTATAGTTTCCGGTGTGGGATTGATTGTTCAAAGGGTTCTGTCCTCCCTGAACTTGGTTTTGTCCTCCTTGAACTTGGTTCTGTCCTCCGTGAACTTGGTTGTAATAGCTTTTACCAGAGCTAGGCAAATCAGACTGCAGCTCCTGGAACATAGTGTCTCCTAAGTCTATCAAAGCGAAACTGTTTTCTTAAGAAGCTCTTGAAGATCACGTGACCATCGCTCTCAGTGCATATAAGTTGCGAAATATATCCATTTCGTGAATGAAAAAGTTAATTAACTAATTAAATTAATTAACTAATTACCCGTCTGAGGTTGGAGTTCTCGATAGTGAAAGAACCGGACACGGACAGACTGTCATCAGGGTCACTCCATTGAGATCCTTTACGGAGCAGAGAGTTGGAGAGGAAATCAGACGTTTCCATGAACGAGGTGGAGTTCATCAGACCACTGTAATCTGTTAGTTTTAAACTATTAGTTGAGGTGGAGCGCCGTTAAACAGACCATAATTTCAGGCAAATACTACCCGAACATTTGGGAGGCAACAATTCTCTTCATTCCGCTACCTGAAGTAGTTCTAAATAGCTTTAAATAGGTTACTCACCATTCAGACTGGGGAAATTATTAGAATTGTCCTCTGATGAGTTGTAGTAAGACTGTTCACCAGCACTGTTGTTGAAGTTATGGTTTGGTGGAGGAACCGGGTTGTGAGGCCTTGCTCCAGTTTTGTCTGTCTCAGACTGCCAGTAAGCTGATAACAAAATAGGGTATATAAGGAAAAATAAATCTGTGCAAAATTCAAAACAAAGGAATGATTCAGATAATATAATCGGCTAAATAATGTAATGCCAATGGGACTGTCAAGGAGAAAATAACACAACACTCCTGACTCACGAGCTCTGGGTTGCTGCTTGTTGTAGTTGCCCTGGAAGTATGAAGCCTGGACCTGAGGACTAGCTTGGATCCCACTATCACATGACCCGTCATGTGTCCCAATTATCTCCTCCAATCCCTCTAGCAGACTCGACATGTTGATGTTCTCGTAGTCCACCGGGTAACCTCGAGTAGGCTTCATCTGAAATGATATCCTCATAGTTGGTACATTAACGAAACTAGCCTTGTGTTTGGCACAGAAGAGACACAGCGCCACCAAGGGAATATCAATAAAGATGGGATGTGAGCTGATGAGCTTGTTAAACTGGAGGGATGTCTGTGCAGTATTAGTGGTTGGAGCATATTATGCTCGTGGGTACTTGGTAAGGGTATGGATAGTAATAAAAACAGTTAGCGCATTCCTTCATCGAATGTAACGTAAAGTTTAGTTTTTGTATAAATTACAGGTAACATACGGTGAACAGTATCTACTTATTATGGAAAAACAGTAAGTTATATCGAATCGATTCCAACAGTTATTAACTTTATATTGATAATTTGATAATACAATCAGAAGGGTAGGGATATTTATGACTGTTCCTTATCATTTTAAATCGATATTTGATCTAGTAGGTAGGACGATTTGTCAGTGTACGGAGCAAATTTCGTCGTGGTTTGAGGTGTTTGACTTTTATTGTAAGTGATATTCTGCGTACCCCCCTACCTAACAAACTAACCCCCCTACAGCTAGTATAGTGCCTCGGCAGAGTGGCTTAGGGTTACTGAAAAGGAGATAAGCACCTCAGGCCATCCCAACGTTCGGGAGAGACCTGCCCTTGTATCTTGTTGTTGATATTCTGTGATTTGATATGGTATTCTGAGAGTCTGCTGTGACCATTTACCACCACCTAGCAGTTAATGTAATGACTTGTGGTGTGTGGCAGTATCCATTAATTAATAAAATCAGTTAGTAAGTAAGACTTACAGGAGATCGTTGGTCGTATGCTCGGGGAGGATAGGGACTGTAACCCTGCATATTATCCATGTAGGGTGGCTTATCCATCCAGGGTGACTCTTGAAGGACTGGACGTTTAGGAGTCGATATCGAGTACCTTGACTGTGGGATTTTATTATTTTACACATTTTAAACGATTGCAATCAAATGAGTTATTAGATTCAAGTGAAGGTGAAACACTCATGTTTTGTGTTTAACACATACGTACCACTGTCAATTGTCATGTGTTTTTATATCCCGTCATTTGCCCCAGTACGCATAGAATTAGTTGGGCATTGATCAGCTTATCTATAAATTAATATCCAATTACCATACTTTTATACTTTACCTGGTTTTGAGGGAGTGGAGTCGGAGGGGAGCCTTGTTGTTGCTGTTGCTGTTGTTGTTGGTGCTGTTGTTGTTGTTGTTGCTGTTGCTGCTGTTGTTGTTGTTGTTGTTGTTGTTGTTGTTGCATGTAGTCATGTGCCAGTTGTCCTGCTAATACCATCTGTTGTTCTCGTTGGTACTGGAAAAATAATAGGTTTGATGATTTAATTAATTTAATTACTTTGTATGATCATATTACTCATCAAATTTATCTCGCTAACAAAAAGACGAATGGCAAAATTAATTTAAATTATATTATTAAATTATAATAGTTTCATATTCTACCTATTCAGAATTATGCGTTAGTTAATCAACGAGATTCTCAGTAATATAAACCATTATTTGGCACCAGTAAATCAATGAATAATGGTGACCAATACTATTGTGAAGATCGTGTTTTCTGGGTCGCCCAACCGATGTGGGGTGGGGCTGTGGTATCCTACTGTTTGCCAATAACCCATGTAATGTGTCATTTCATATAATGTGTATTAGTAAAGATAAGGACCTCTAAAGTTAGCTCTATTGCCCAGACCTTGTCTTGTCATTCAACCGTTATGAAGAATCGTAAATTGTTAATCCTGGATATTTATAAGGTTATTCATTATAATAAGGGGTTTTAGCGACCATAATGGTTGTTTTCAGAGAAATCTGGGGTCTTTAAGTCAAACTTAGTTGTTTTACATGGTTGGATATTGGCTGGACTCCCCTACTGAATTATTTATAATATATTTGTACCTCGTTCATATTTTTGCCGCGAATGTCAGAGAGAAGTCGGAGTATGGTGTTAGGGGATAATTGAGGGTGTGGTCGAGGAGGGGATGCCACCATGCTGTTGTTAGGAACCTGGTAATAATTAGTTAGCTTATTTGGTTAGTAATTACAATTGGTAGTAATTATCCAATCAGCTTGGACTATTGACCAATAAAAACCCAGAATCACTGTCACGTAACAAAGTATGCCTCACTCCTCCCAGAGAATCCACATCTATAAATTAGGTAATTGGTTGGTAATTGATGAGATCAAAAGCCACAAACAGACCTATAGTAAACTGAGTGACAGCCCAAAATGTTTTTCAAATTTATTTAATAAAAGTTACGTACCGGATTCTCTGGACCGTATCTCATCTTGGGGGGTGGGTTCCTGTGTTGACTCATTTGATTCTGGTAAATGAAGGTGTTTTGTTTAAAATTGAAATTGTAATTGAAATTGTAACTGAATGCCGTATGAATCATGCCGTATGGTGTACAGTGTAGGTACCTGTTTGTTGCACTTGTCACTTTTTATGCTCGATGGGAATTTTATTACCTTCTTCATCAAAGTCATTTCAAGTAATTTCTCCAGCAGCTCGCGCTGTTCCTTCCTCTTATGATTTGTGTTAGTTTGGTTTGGTGAGTTGTTGGTGAGGTCAGGTAAATTGAGAAGGAGTGAGAGTGGAGGGAGACTTGTGCTGGGTGACTGCTGTAATTGTGACTGCTGTGATTGTGACTGCTGTGATGAGAAGATCATGAGGTGTCACGTGATGTCAGTTTGTTATTGAATTGATTAAAAAAGTGAAAATATCGAAAAAACATCACACAGATTTCAGTGAATTTGTTTTCGGTGAAAATATTTAGGTATAGAGGACACAAGTCCCCGTGCTTAAATTCACAAAGAGCCTGAGAACTGATAAAGCCGCAACGGCCGGCGTATGCGTGCGGCTTACACGAGGTATCGGGATGAGATATTACTAATTGGTGATTATTTGGTTAAATTAATTGATTGAGTAATTGATAGTACTGACTTGTTGTCTCATGTGGTCCATGTTGTAGGATCCAGGGGACCTGTGATGAGGAGGTTGGTTGTTGTTCATACTGTTGTTCATACTGTTCGTACTGTTGTTCATACTGTTGTTCATACTTCCATTGCCAGGGTTGCCCTGGGTTATCTGAAATTGCGTGTTTTAAAATGTGACTTAATGTATTTTATTAATTTTTGGAGACTAAACTGTTTAGTGTTCAGATAAATATGTTAAACTATAAATTGAAAAAAAAGGGGTCAGAATAATAAGAAAACATGATAATATGTTGTTACATGACATGATAATAATAAGTTGATGTTGAACCGTGATTATATGGCGTGTTGTAAGGAGCTGTTAATGGTGACAATCAGTCATCAGGTTACTAACTTACTAGAAACTTATGGCGGACCTGTCTAAGTAAATTGGCGGGTAACTTTGTGACCTTTAGTCTGAGCGGAATTTCCGAACGAGAAGACGGCTCTAAGATAGATTAATGTCTGTTGCAGACACTCCGTGACAACAATACGTTGAACTCTTGTCGATACAATCCGTTGTCGGCACCACAATTTATTGAACTGTTGCCGGCACCACAATTTATTGAACTGTTGTCGCTACAGTTCTCAAGTTGCTATGTTAACTTTAATGACGAGTCGCTTCCTCCAGTTATCAGTATGACTCCAGCTACTTATAGATTATTTACAGATATGGATTTATTATCTTTCGTCAACTTTCATATTTCAATTAATTATCTAACATTAAGTACATCAAGTACTAAAATAAATGATTATCAAAGCTAAAACGAATACCAAAAATTACAGTAAAAATAAATAAAGTGCTCCATCTCAATCGAGAATTGTCATAATTTGAATTTGGCCATTAGGTCGCTATTCTCAGCGCTGTACTCAACTATGCTAGGATATTCAGACAATTATTGTTTTGGCTACTATTCGCAATAAGATGATTACAAAAAGAGACGAATGATCTTTACCTGATTTCATTTGATGCTTAGTAAGGGCCTGATCTTATTTGTACCACCAGTACCGGTACTGGTAGAGACTAGAGATGTGGTCTGAAGTTTAGAGTACAGAGGACCAGTAAAGAATCATGTAAATGAAATCGAACTAGATGTAGGACACATCGAGGCGAATGACCTTATCAGCCATAAAATCTACTTTAATGCTCCAGCACCAGGAATCAGGATTGATTTAAGGCTATCACATCAGAATTATCGGACAAAATTAATAGCAGTAGTTTCGATTTTAATTTCGTTGCGAGTTATGCCAGATTGATGGGATTTTACCAGACTCTAACATGATCTAATAACTTTAGTCTTTATTATGTTATGTAACGTCTAGAACTTCAGAGACAAGGACACGTTTCTTGAACCAATCACAGTTGTACAAAGTTTATTATTGTAGTACGCCTGCTAGATCAAAACAGGGCTTGGTCTTTCTTGCATAAATATGCTTTATTTTCATAATCCATGCCATTACATATTTAATGACGCACAAAAACCACATTGCAACTAGCTACCAACAAACCAGCCTCCCCAAGAAGTCGACTAGTCTAGTTCCGTAGTGTTGCTATGGAAACGTATTTCGATTTAGTCAGATAAGTTTGTCAGGCAGCCATAAAAAATATTTCAAAAATAACTATTTAACGCTTAAATGGTTTAATCATTTGATTCTTATCGTTAATCGTATTTGAGGGTCACCCGCCTCTCCTACCACTGCAGCACTACGCCAAGTTAGTCGATTAGAAGGATTTGGGGGAGGGACCGTGTGAAAAGGACCTGCTTCACCGTCCCGTATCCATATTTAGGGAAAACGATCTTGAGGTCATTTTTCTGTCGCTTACAAGTAATGTGTCACGCCACAATAGGCACACACATAATCTCAGCAACATCCAGCTCACCGGTTCTGATTCCGTAACCACCCATTATCCGACCTGTCCCTACTCCCCTAGAGACCCATGTCCCCAGGACTTCAACCCAATTAACTGGATGATCCCTCGCACCAAGGTGCCACTTGTGGGGGCACCCGCACACCGCAAGGGGCAACTATTACCCTCGTCATAAGATTATCTTATTATTCAGGATTACTGAGCCGAGGTGACCTTTTCCATCGTTTGGCAGCCACAAATCACGTGACTATCAACAACCAATCACGTGCTTTGTTTTTCGTCACATGACTGCACTATAGCTGGACGGACGAGCTTTGGCTAGACTCGGAGCACTTGCCATTCTTACCGTAAATATAGTTGCGTTTTTGGGTCAGCTACTCGAGACCGGGAACAGGGCCATTTAAACTGACCACGGATTTGAAGCAAGTTTAAGCAGGTCTACAGGTGTTCAATTCATCTTCAGGGTTTATCAATCGCAATTAATCGAAGATAACCAATCAACTGAGTAAGAAACTAAGTAAGAATCTGGAACTGCATCTTCAACCAACTTAAATATTAGCGTTAAGAGGTTTGATGATGTAAGATTGTGACATCACCTAAATACGTCTTTGATTCACGATAATTCGATTTTATAGGACAGTGAGATGAGGCAGCAGTTTTTAAATGTTGTACTTTAAAGGAGCTTATCTCGAAACTCTAGATCTGAATCATGATACTAGATTTTTCAATTGTATCATGCATTAACGTCATTACTTCAAAGTTTTTAAATTTTTTAGTGCAAAATAAATTTAATTTAAATTATCTTCTTCCAACTGAACACGAACGGGTCACATTACACATGTTTCTAATTACTTCAGACAGTGTAATTTCTGATATGTCTTCTTTACCTACAAAGAATCAAAGTTGCAAAGAATTTGTTTAGTACGAGATGTTACCAGTTTCAAATTCAAGTTTTGTACAAGCCCAATTTGTATAGAAGTTGCATTTTGCCTCAATCAACAATTTTTTGTACCAGAACTTCACTTTTTCATCGACAGAATTACGAATAACAGGAGAATATTCTCATTTTTGGTAAGGCTGATAAAGTAAGCCAGTTATAATGACCTTTTAACCAACATATAGTTGCCTGTCTTGTCCAAGTTGGCATATAATTGTGCACGTGGTCTTATCCTCAGCTTACGTTAATTAGAGTAGTACCTCTCGATCATAAATTTCACTCCATACTAATGGAGCGAAATGAATAATTAACTCCAATAGAGGTAGAATATAATCAGTATAAGATATGATCTAGTATATTTTATATTCGTCATTATCCATATCATATCTTTATCCATATTATATATATTTAAATATATCATTAGGGTGACCACGTGAAATATACGAAGACGATAATAAAAATAATTATTGGTTAAGTTTTTGTGGGTAGATGTTTTAGCGATACATTTCTTTAGTCGTCTCACTGTTATATCTAAAGAATAATAATTACATCATTATATCACAGATCGTCTGTACTGCGTCTGTGTCTCTGGTAATGGTGTCTAGAAATTAATCAAGACTTAATAACTAATCATTGTTGTGCTTATTGTATTTAAGTACGAATATTATCGCTCAGAGTCAGTTAATGTTTGAGGGAATTGTTCATTGATGCTTACCCACTCCAGTATAAATTCTTCAGAATACTATCCTAAATATGTGATGTATTTTTATTTTGTACTTTACTCTTAATTATCAAGTATTATTATTTGCATTATAGACATATTTCTCTGATGTTACAATGTTACATTGCTTCAATAATTTGTTCGATATTTAACTTGCAAGGGAAAATATGGGACACATGGCTTACTGTTTTAAATCAAGAGGCTTGCATATAATGAACATATTGACACGGGTGCAGAGTTGAGTCTGTACGGAACCTAGTAGGAGTGACATGTAAATTGTTTCTGACCTCTTTATTTTGACACTTTGAGCGTCTTAAAAGAAATGGGCTCCTTTTTTGTCATAAATTGGAATCGCTACCTACATCATAGAGTCTTGGGATCTAAAATCACGCCCAAAATATCGTCATCTGATACGATACCATCCTATAACATTAAACACGGACGCCGGAGCATGCACGGTTTGCTGGCCATGGAGTCCACTAATTCTAACAATTTGTAAGAATAAAGGGTATATGAAATAAAAGAAAGTCTTGGAGCGTGAACACCTAAATTGTGGTAGCTACACTCTACAGTATCCGATAATGTAGCCACAGTATCCGATAATGTATCTGATAATGACTGGAAGGAACGTTATATCTGTGATAAAATGAGTGGCGAATTTTAAATCGTTGGCAGGTGGTTCAGGAGATAGTATGATACTAATTTACAATTCCAGGATACTAAATTAGTATCCTGGAATTGGAAATTGGATTTCTTGCTATTTATGATCTTTAAATTCTTCATTCTTTACTGTTATATACAGTGATTTAAGCTTTAAGACCACGGACATGGCTGTTTACAATTCTGGAGTATTGTCTTCATATGCTACAACAAGGCAGTATCTAAGTCTTTATACTTATAACCACTGCACCTATCACTATGATTATCAAGAGATCGTTCTAACTGAGCTACACATGTACATCAAAGAGTACTCAAAGAGTACTCAAAGAGTACTCAAAGAGTAGGTGGTCGGTGGGAGTGTTTTTGGTATGGCTGGAGATAAATACTTCAACTTCTTTACTTTTGTTTTTTGCAGAGTATCTGAGTTCAATAAAACCTTATCCATATTTCAAATAATGACTGTGCTATTGGTTTGGTAAAAGTACTAGGCCACTTGGAGCAACAGTTGCTATGGAAATACGAAAAATGATCTGATGTGTTAATCTTTAATTCAGACTGCAGACTCTTTAAGTCTATATTTTCACGTACTATTTGTAGTGACTAGTGGAAATGCTCATTTTTATTATTCACATTACAATATCTATTGTCTCTTCTCCATATTCGTGTGTTAAGCTCAGATCGCTGAATATACAGGTTATATTTCGTAATATCACTGCCACGCCCCACCTTTATGAACAGTGACGCGATTTTGAGGGTATTTTCTTTCATTTCACCAATAAGTTTTCATTGTAGACCCTTAATTAAATCTAGACTTTATTTAGACTTTCTCTGTTTGTTGTTAACGTTAGAACCCACGTTTTCTTTTAGCCTCCTTAATCCCATTTTTAAATGTTAGTGTACTTCACGTTTTTTACATAATACAATATAAACTATTGGGTAAACACGCAGAGGATGAATGCGATATTTAGAACTCAGGAATAAACATAATGGTACAATCAAACGCTACGAAGCTATTTCAATTTCCTGTTTTAAATTTCAAGTTTCTTTTTAAAGAAGTTCCCAACCGCCCAAAACATACGGAGATTCAATGACGATAGATTACACCAGTTAGTGCCCATGGGGGCCTCTTGATGGTTACCATACAGGGTTTCGTTTCCAGGACAATGATCATTAATCGGCTCCGTGAGACTATGTTAGAGGTTATTCTGAGTGGTGTTTCTTCTTTCAATTAAGTGGATAGAATAATCCTGTAATTTTCTGTACCGCTATTTTTGTTTGGATTCTGGATTTTGTTGTTAAGCGTACACAATGATTAAAGAAATATGTTTTCAGTGGATAAAGTACCAATATCACTTTATATTAAACACAAGAGACTTATAGTTTTATTTGCGATTCTTTTCACAGTTTACGTTGAGAGGTAGAATTTAAAATTACTTTCAAGACGAGCTCTGATTGAGGACAGAAGAATATAAACTAATGTAGATTAAGTAGAAAGCAGCCAAACTTATAGCAGGTCAAACATCTGAGTATATTATAGGGTTGACCCCCCGACAGTTGACCTCCCGACAATATAATTTAATATAATTAACCCTAACCCTAACCCTAACCCTAACCCTAACCCTAGCCCTAACCCTAACCCGATCAATTGAACCCAGTGTAATTGTACATGGGGTCGTACTAAGCCCTAGATTTCGTACTAAGCCCTAGATTTCGCGAAAATTGACCCCAGTGTTATTACATAGGGGGTCAATTATCGGGAGGTCAATTGTCGAGGGGGTTAATTGTCGGGGGGGGGGGGGGGTCAATTGTCGTACTAAGCCCTAGATTTCGCGACAATTGACCCCAGGGCAATTCCACGGTAAGGTTCCACTTGGTGAAAATGAAAAATGTTAAGATAGGCACCTAATGGTTGAAATATGTTCATTAGACTCTTAACCTTACAGGTCAACAAAAGTTTTTTGTTTCATATTGCGTTAACTTTTGATTTTTCTCATTCAAAGGAACACTACTCGGAAATGAAAATAATCATTCAAATTTTCAAAGGGCCATAGTTTGGGTATGCAGCAATATTTCTCTATGAAATTTCATACACTTAGGCATAGGCATAAGAATGAGAGCTATGCAAAGTTTCACAAACCGTTACTCTAACACTTTTTCTAAAAATTTCCACAAAGATGGTGTCGCGTCCGTCACAAAATTAAGCATAAAGTTTTTTCAGAGCCACATAGTGCTATTTATATTTAAAAACCACTGTAACATATCTCTTCTGAAGGTAAGGGAGTACCGTAGAAATTATCAGGCTTGTATCTTTTAAGAACAAAATTTTGGAAGGGGGGTCCCAACTTGTCGCGTCCGTCACATTTTTTTGAAAATGCTCCAAAAAATCTTTAAACAGACTTGAAATGCATTTTTCTTAAAGCTGAGACCGTCGTCAACAAAACTATGTCGTCAAATCGAAAATTGGACAGAAAATGGCCGAGTTATGTATAATTTTGTATATGCCCATATATGGGCGTACGGCTCACTTTTAGCCATTTTTATCCATATTTCCATTATTTTGACTAAAACCAAGACAAATATAAGTCAAATAAGGTTGGATTGTGTTGACTATGTTGACTAGACTATCAAATAACATCATATGCAATTCAATAATTAAATTTACTGAGTTTTTGCCATTTTATTTGCTTACAACTTTTTCAGAGGTAAAAGGCACAAAAAATGGACTTTACCCTATTTTCGCATATTTTTGAAGTAAAAATTCAATATCTTCCACATTTTAAACACTTAAGTAATGAAACTTTTAGGAGATGGTCTCAACAGTATGATGCATTGAACAGTGATGAATGTTTTACCAGAGTTATAAATTTGTTCAAGTAGAGAAATAATTGATGCCTCTACACTGATACCCTAGCGTATGCCCAAAATGGACAATTTTGGCTACTGCAGACCTCTTGGGGGTATTTGAGGCCTAAAAATTGGCATGAATACAGAGTAGATGTCACTGAACAAGATAAAAGTATCAAGTGGAAGATTTGGAAAAATTGAAAAAAAACGTGTGTCCGTCACAGTCGCGTCTGTCACAATTTGAAAATGGCGCCACGCATACAAAAATTGAGCATCTCAGAAATCCCTAAACCTTCTTCTATCATTGTAATTCCAAATTAGAGACAATAGATAACTTTTTGAGATAAATTTGGGTACCATCTGAGTAGACACCCAAAAAAAGTGTCATATTTAAGTCGCGTCCGTCACAGGGGTGCTATCTCAGAAAGTAATAATGGTAGGGGTCTGAAATTTTCACACAACCTGTAGAAAGGTTAAATGTGGGCTAATAAACAGTTGGAACTGATAAATAAACAACATCTCGAGTACAACATTCGTTTGAACTTTAAAAAACAGCAAAATCGTGGTGTCCGTCACGGTGGAATTGCCCCCCAGTGTTATTACATGGGGGGGTCAATTGTCGGGTGGTCAATTGTAGAAGGGTTAATTGTCGGGGGTCAATTGTCGTACTAAACCCTAGATTTCGCGACAATTGACCCCAGTGTAATTACAATGGGGGGGGGGGGGGGGGGGGGTCAATTGTCACGGTACCTATTATAGAGTGTACGATTAATGAACAGAGATATTCTTAGATTGATATCCTTCCACTTCCAGACCAATTTAAAGAGGATGTCATCTTACATGTCTAATGTTGATACTACTAATATATTTGATCTAGGACAGATTCTGCTTTGATTTTTAAAACTTAATAAGTTTTTGTTGTTGTTATAAAGTCAGCGTTTCCAAGTGGAGGCTTACTTACAAATTTGTTAATACCATTTCTCAAGGACGAAATTAAGGTAATATGGGAGATGCAAGTGATCGTTCTTGTTACGAAAACATTCCGCAGATGTTAACTTTACTTTATACCTCATATGGATACAAAGAATCGGTAGGTTTGGGGCCTGGGGGTTTCCCATCTATGTCCATTTGACCAAAAGTTGAGGAATAAATGGGCATGACTTTTGTTGTTTTTTTGTGGCACCAACTTAAATCAAATCTCCACCCCCCCCCCCCCCTAAGTAGATCATGCTTTCGCAACTTTAGTTAGTTGAAGCTATGGATGCTACCCCATGAATCTGGATTTTAGGCATGTACAGTGTACTAAATAATATCTATAATATCTATGACATTTCTCTTCACCTTTTCTAATACTAATAGTATACCCGACAGGCAGAATCAGCTTTGGGGATATTGTACACGCTGATCGGAATGGCAGCGGTATTTGGGAATGCCTGTGCTCTATATTACTTCCTCACGATTGATAAAAGTATGTACTTTTAACTTGCATAAAATATTGAGATATAGCTAGAACTTTTCTACTACAGCAAAAGAAATATTTGGCACTCGATGGAAAATTTAAAAGAATTCTTTGTTTACCTTGAAAACAAATAACTATCCAAGAGAGCAGATTCACAGCAAGCAGAATATTTTACACCGCATTTGCGGCAACGGACCTGATGATGGGCATAGTTTCGTGTTGGACCGGGCTGGTTTTTGGCAAGAACAGACCTTTCTACCTCTGCTCAATGTAAGTCCTCATTAATTTTATCTGGTTTTATCTTAAGCAGTATGGTGTATTATAACTCTATGATCGACCCCTGTTTACGAACAAAAAGGGCCATGACATACAACTTTCAGATTGGCCACATCAAAGCCAGTAAACATCATAATTGGAATCCTAAATAACTTCTCGATGTTCAGTGGTCCTAATATCATAGCACTGATGGCTGTCAGTCGTTGTGTGGGAGTTTTCTTACCCTTCAAGTTCAAACACATTTTCACACCAGTAACGTGAGTATTCTGAAGAATTTGGCAAATATTTTTCGTTGAATCCAATCAGTTCTGCCAAAAAGCTCACAAACAAATTGAACTTCAAAATTGTACCCTTGTATCGATTCATTGTACGTTTAAGATTATTATAAAATAGGAATGTTGCCTTTTGATGATTAACAAGCGAATTCGTCAGGTCATGCGTACTGGTTGGGATCGTGCTGATACATCCACTGATAGCTGCTCTACTCCCTTTCTTTGTGCCAAACCTAGAGTCTAACCCACACGATTATTCATTTGAAATGATTTCTGGTCAGATCGTTTATAACCTATATGAAATCACCCGAGAAGTACAACTCGACACCCCAATTGCTCATCGAATGAATATAGGATTTGTAACGTTTCCAAGACTGTTAGCGATTGTGGTGATGGTGGTTTCCAGTGTAGCAGTGGCAGTGAAACTTCTTCTCTACAGGGCACCAGTGCAAATGCAGTCAAATGCTGCTAAAAAGAACACCCATCGCAGCACCTCAATCACCCTTCTCATCCTAGCAGCAGTCTTCTTCATCAGCTACGCTCCCTTTTGCTTTGTCATCTTAATGGATGTAACAGATTCATACGACGCTCTCGGTATCACTATTCCCATAATCTTCTACTTAGCTCCAAGCTCCTACCTTATAGCGTATGTTAGCAGCGCAGTAAACCCGATGGTCTACCAACTGCGAGGCAGATCCATATTCGAGAACAAAACAAATGAAAGGAAAGGAACGGTGTACGTTAATCACGTTTCGAGACAGGAGACTAGGATGTCGGTGGTAGACGAGAGCAAACTTTGAAGAAGATCAATTTGGGAACTTCCTAGAACAATCCAGAACTTTAGACGTTCTCAGCGGTCACTTTAGCAAACAGTTTAAGTTTTAGATCAGAAGGGAGTATCATCAGACAATAGCGATGCCGAAACGGACTGCTCCATGAAGCATTGATGATATATTCCTTGCGGTTTTACAAACGATTTAAGACAAACTACATACCGTTGGTCGGTGTGATGAAGAGATTTCGGTTGTGGAATGTGAAGATGTAATGAGCGGTGGACAGTCGGTCACATGTGTGTTAGTGGGTGGTGCGATCTGAAATGTGAGATGGAATGTTTTTGGAGATGATAAAAAATTGAAAGTGAGATATTATGTTCAAACAAGCTGAAAAACTGAAAAAAGTCCAAATAGGGATGTTAAATTTAATGTTACAAAATGATACCATTTGTAATGAAATTTGAAGTACATGTACATAAAATAAAAATACGTTCAAGAGAAAATAATTTGTAGACCGTGATTGACGGGTTGACTAACAATAAGCCTGCAGAATGTTTGGATTATTATAAATTCTTCAGAATTAGTAACCATATTTATTAAGAAGCTATTTTATTCCGAGTAGCATTAGAAACAGCTGTGTCTTAATAAAAGCAATTATTTTCTATTTTAAAATGCATCATTGAGATTAATTTTTCTCTAGGAAAAAAAGTACGATGTAACTATGAAATTACGAACCGAAATGAGGTCATAAGAATGGAACTGCCAAAGGAATTATATAATCAATAAAATTAATTTTGTTTTCAAAGTGTGTTTTACAAAATGTAACATAACTTTCTATTTCATACCAAATTGATCAGACATATTTAAAATTTGACTACCTAAACTTAAATTAATAACCGCCAGTGAACAAATCTAGATTCTAGAATCATCGTAATAAAAATATAAAACATAATAAAAATACAAAATTAAATGAACACTGTACCTGGTAGATCCTTGCCATGTCAACCTCAAACGCATCCTTGTTCATAGCGCTTATCTCAAGCTGTGCAGCGCAGCAGTTCTCCGGTGTACCCATGATATTCACGTGACGATCTGTAGAGGATTTCTTACCTAGTTCGTCCGACTGGGTTATCGTTATCCTGAAATTTAGGGCTGGTCAAGATGGGGAGAAAACTTAGTGTCGAAGACTTAGTGAGACGACATCAAGAATATTGTTTGAAATGTTATCAAATAATATTAAATTTCTTGGTCATCTTTATAACGATTGTAACTACTCAGTCGACAGTTAATCCAGATATAGATAGATTTTTATTTCATGAAATAATTAAACCTATCTATTTCAATTAAAAATTCACTAACTCAGTCATAGTTCGTTCCATGAGTTGCATAAGGCCGTTGTACCGGTCTCCAAACATCTTGATAAGAAGGTTGTGGTGGACCAACAACTCTAATACCGCCGATTTGTATGACAACATCTGGGGCTGAAGTTGGAACGGGTGTTAAATAAAGCAAATAATTTGAGTTAAAAACTCAGATAGCACTGAATCATATTTTTCCAATTTTGCACCATTGTGATCATATAATATGTATAAATTTATTTGTGGTCTCTAGACCTAAACTTTACTTTCCTGCGTGAATTTGAATATAACTATACCCTGGAATCCGGATATATGCAATATTCGTATCCCTGTGATTAGTATAATTGGTGCTGGTCACACACGTACGTGTCAAAAGCTTGGGAATACCTCTTTCTAGATGAGCACATGATTATTGATTATGTTTATCATCTTGTACCAACACACATTTAGGTCGCATCCCCACTAATCACTAATGTTGTGGTCAATACAAAAACTAGAACCAGGAAAAATATTCAGGGGAGACACCACATACCACATATTATACATGATGCAGATACTTATTGTAATCATATTCATCGTCAAGGAGTGAATTCTGTAAGATTAAGCCATTACAACTTAACTAATATTGAACATAAGCTTGCTAGAGGTTCTCCTTGGGGACCAAAATATATGCCTCCTGAGCGGCTGAGAATAACAATTCAATCAAACGAGTTATATAATATACATTTTATACAAGGTATAAGTAGCTAGACTAAGTAATAGTATCACACTCAGTTTTCCTGGTTGCTCCAAATACACAGCTCTTGGTCGTAAGACCTCTAAGCTACTGAAGATTTTGGCTATTTCAATATATGAATAATTGTTAGGTGTTAAGTATACGTATATGCTATGTTTTGTCTGAATCTTATCGGAGCGCCCTTTATTATGGCTTGATTCCATTTTGACCATAGAAAACAATAAATCCTGCCCCGAGCGAAGTAAGATCCTTACTCCGTGGTAAGAGAAGGTCTGTATTCTGTATTTGTGACCCACCGCCCACCAATCTCAGTCGCTGCTTTTACCAAGTCATTAACTTAGCTGAAGATTTAATCTTCTAAAAATAGCTGGCCTCGCAAAATACCCCAAAGGAGTATAGCATAATATGGATATTTAGTCTTTGTCTATTTTAGGAGGGTACGTTTTGTGGGCCAATTATTTTCCCTACCCTGAAAGTTCACCACGTTTATGTGAATACTTGGACTCAGACTTGAAAGACGCTCATGAACATTCGTACGATCTGCTGCCCTCGGTGTCTAATGTCTATCGCAAAAAGAGTATTGATCTGGGCAGAGAGCAATGGCATGGACAGATATATTTTGACTATAAACTTATGCTTGCTTTTCTGCAAGGTGACCCACAAGCCAGTGCACCAACGTTTTGGTTTATAGCATATCCAATCCTCTAACAACTTATCAGACTTATCACTTAGAGGATACAATCGCGTCGTGAGAAATTTAAATAATCATAATAATATTTCAAAGCACACCCTTTCTCACATTGCAAATATCACAATCAGTCATTGTGAACTCGCTTTAAACGTCGGATCTAAATGGTTCTATATAATTTCGTGTAGTATTGACATTGTTTCTGTCAGTTGAAATGACTGATTTTAAAAACTTATATCAATTTGTTTAAAAAATGAGGACGATTTAACCAACTTGGTGAACTTAGCGAGGGATCAACTACTACTAGAATGGAAGAGTTTATTTACTATAAAAACATATTGAACGGAGGAGTGGGGGGGGGGGGGGCCAATGACTACCAATGGAGACTTTTGGGGACTAATGGGGACTAAAAATCATGGGGACTAGAGGTCAACTCGTTGACGTAATTCACCATTTGTCCCCATAAGTCCCCAGAATTTTTGACAGTTATTTATGTTTTTCAAGTTAGTTTAATAACGATACGATCGAGATGTTTTGTCCAAGATAAGAGTAGGATAAATCTAAATGGGGACTAATGGAGACTTTTGGGGACTAATGGGGACTAAAAATCATCTAAATAGGGACTAATGGAGACTTTTGGGGACTAATGGGGACTAAAAATCATGGGGACTCGGGGTAAAATCGTTGACGTAATTCCCCAAGTCCCCAAAAGTAGTCATTGGCCCCCCCCCCCCCCCCGGAGGAGTCTTAGAAAGCGTAAATAGGCCAGCAATTTGCTGAGCCTCTTTGGGTGCCCTTTCGTTTATAGATGTTATTATATCAATTTGTTGTTCTCGTCAGAAAAGTTTATTAGGTGATCATCCGATCACGTGGTACTGGCTCCGGCCATATTATGTAGTAATAATTAAGCCGAGCCGGAAGGAATTCGGCCCGCTTATCCATAACTTTAAAGAAAATAACCAGGTTAGATAGCTTATCCGTGCACACCTTTACAGTTCTATTATCTTGGTAATCGGAACAAAAAAGAAAACAGAATGCACGTGCATGTTTACGTAACAGTGCACGTGCAGGTGTATGCTCGTGACCTACAGCATTTTCGTGCTACTAATACTGTGCCAGAGACGTACACCACCGCGATTCGCAGCACCGAAATATTGACCCAGACCGTGTTATTTTTTCGCTTCTTCGGGCCGCAAATTCCCTCCAGCAAGCTGTCGGGAATTATCACGCGTAGCCCTCAAAAGCGAAGGTATTATATTATTATAAACTGTAACCTTTCCGTTAGCAAGATTAATTGATCGCGCTCTGGTATTATAACTGAACTTCGAGACAGTTCAGTGACCATTCACTCCAATAATAGTCATCAGTTCAATAAAAACTATAAACCAATTAGCTTGTCAGTTCAGAAAAAACCTTTCTATAGATATCTTTTCGTCATCAATTGCTATCTTATCAGTGAATTGTTCGAATTGCTGTTGGCAGTTTAGAGCTAGTTTAGAACTAGTGTGGAAGTGGACTGTATCCCGGGATATAGTCTGTCAGGGAGCACAGTTATCACTTGCATCAAGGATAAGATCTGGGAGTATAGCGAAACTCCTGGATGTGCCCTCGGTGGGTATTTACTATTTACATTCTTTTATGTTTTACAATAATATGTCAGAACAGTTTTATATTAACAAATTGAAGACACTTTATCCGTTTGGCCTGAACAATGTGAATTCCGTTTCTGGAAGCTAATTTTTCATGGTGTCCCGAATTTTATTTTTAAATCGTCCATTTTTCGTTTATATATGCAGTCTATCAATTTTAGAATTGCGTCTTTTTGATTTAATGAACTACTGCAGACTCCACATTATTATAGTATATGCCATTAATTTTGTTCCGATTTTAAGCTATTCCATTTTGACGAGATGCTAAATTAATTAATTAATTTTTTGAGACTTTACTACATTTTTGATGAGAATTTCTGACATTTTCAACCTAACCATTGATATTCTCAGATTATGTGACTGATTAAATGCTGAAGATAAAAGAAATATATTCATTTTGCTAAGATTATGTTTGCGTTTCATTGCTCAACAGCTGTTCGAAGGATCAAATTTAAGACAATAATATGGTTACTTTAAATTTAAACAATGTAGGTTGAGGCTTGGTCAGGAACATCATAATTGATCGAGTTTAAAAATAAAGTGTTGAAGGTGAGCAATCACAAGAAAGTTGAGAAGTATTGACCCAATCTCCCCCAGACACGTGTACAGAACTACCAACAGTTGTATCAGATATGATAACAACCAGCACCTTTTCCGTGGCAGTAGGAACAGTGGTGGAAGTGAACTGCAAGCCTGGTCACACTCTCGCCGGGGATAATAAGATCACTTGTATCCGAGGCACTTATTTTATATTCGGTCAACGCCCAACTTGCACCATAGGTATGATTATCTTGATTTATGATATATTTAAAAAACTTTAAAACCGCCCAAAAACCTGAATTGAAAGTACAATACAATAAGATTTCAAGAAGATATTAATATAATTATAAAGCTCTAATCTCTAGATCACTGCACGGGGATGATGTTTGAAAACCACCTGTCAACTAACGCCACATTTCCTATCACATACGGAACTGCTATTACAGTAGAGTGTGATCCTCAGTACTTGCTGCTTCGCAGTAGTGTGATTACTTGTGAGAAAGGGATTAACTACTCTTACCAGTCCTTACGTCCTAAGTGTGTCAAATTTAATAGAGGTAACTACCATTCATCTTCTTCTGATATTTGTTAAATATTTTCTATATTTTCAAGAGGTTAATGGATGTTAACTTTCCAACTAGTACTACCTTATTCTCTGTGAAGTAAATATTTTTACTCATACCATTAGCACAGTAGGAATATTGAGAGCTAAATTTTCAAAACATGTGACACTTATTCTGTTATTCAAAACCTGCCAATTCATTCCCACAAGTTTTCTAAGTTATTCTAACCTTAAGTTGAAGTGGCTCGTTTAAATTGTTATCAGTTTGTTGTACTGTATCGTTGTTTGTTGGCTAGATTTCTCGAATTTGTTTATTATATCGTACCGTTCATATTCCCCTAACGACAGATATCTTATAAAAGCGTACTGGGATTTTCAATATTGTTAACTGGTTAAGAAAATTTGGGAGCAGTGCCATCTCCAGCCTTGCTGTCTATGAACGAATCGGTTCCATTCTCTCCTGAGTCCTGATCCACCCTGTTCAAAAACCGCGTATATATTCTCCTACAACTGGAAAAATAATCGATCCCGAAACTGGTAAATTGTGCTGACCTTGCTGAGGGTAGCCCGTTCGTCTTGCATGATCTGGAGAATCATGGCGATAGCTTGGTTGCACACCTCCGCACTCCCGAATACTGTGATCTCCTTCTTTAAACTGTGAGCATTGTCCTTTCGGTGTATGTCCACTCTGCAGAGAGATAAAGTGTTAATGTTTAATGTTATGTGATCGAGGCTGACAAAATTTAACATATTGGCAGTTAAGTCATTCCCTAATAAAAATATTAAGCCACGTGACCACTAGGTTTGGGAAAATAACTGACCTTGCCCCGGTTGTATCAGTAATCTTCCTGATTGTCTTGCCCTCCTTTCCAATGATAGCTCCTATCATATTGCTCGGTACGACGAGTCTCACAGGGAACGTGCCATCGTCCACTCTCTTCGTCTCGTCGACCTTCTTCCTCCCGTCACATGACACCTTCCTGTAGGAGGAGGAGAGTCGTGAGATTTGGGTTATTAAAATATGTGAATTGTTGAGATGTCGCATTGGAAAGAAACACAACCATCGCTAAGAAGCAACTTTTAAGGATCGACTTGTTTATATTTAAGGTTTCTCGGATAATTGTCGAAACGGTTACACTATAAACATCAAAAATGGTTAGGTTTGTTTGCCAGTGCAAAAAAGAAAAATTGCTCCAGGTATTATGTAATATAAAATATGATGTATTGAGTGCGCGTGTGCCGTGTTTCTGTAGTAGGCGTACCTTTCTATTGGCGGTTGTGTCTGTTTATGGAGCTCAGATTTCTTCCTGAGTTGAGTGAATGATATGTATGATAAATTAATGAGTTGGGCTGGGAGTGATCTGTTTTAACAAGCATTTAGCTTGAAATAAGGTGAGATGGGGGGTACCAATGGCATAAAATGGCATAAATGGCATACGTTTTATGGCATAAATGGAAATTTTTATTGGCCAATTCTCCATTTATGCCATGAATTTAGGTCTTCATATTTGACTTTAAATTCGCAAATTATTATTAGTACTTGAATAAGAGACATGTTTCATGCTTTATAACGCTTGGAATGATCGTTAAAGATTCATGTGACAAATAAAGAAAATAGAAATGTATTATATCAAAAATGGCATAAATGGCATACGTTTTATGGCATAAATGGAAATTTTTATTGGCCAATTCTCCATTATGCCATTTATGCCATTGGTACCCCCCGGTGAGATAAAATGAGAAATATGACATCAGATGAGAGTTAAAATGGAAGTGAATTGGAACATACGAGAGTGAGGGTGAACCATGTTGAGCAAAACTAAATGTGACAAACCTTGATCGGGATTTGTCTTGCTTGAGGGGGGAATTTGGCCCGGGTTCAGGACAGATTATCTGTAACCGAGTGTTCTGGGACAGGAGACCAGGTTAAATTAGTCGCTATTTCTTAAATAAAGTTATTTAACATGACGAAAAGTATAGTCAATTATAGTTTAACGAGGGTAAAATGTAATTTACTTTGTTTCTACAAATATGAAATCGTAATTATGTAAAGTTAGACAGAGTTGGTTTCACAAAAATAACCTCTTCCACTTACTTCAAAAGGAGTCTCGTGGAAGCGTTCTATGGCATTCTGAGCGTCCTCCTTCAAATCATACGTCACGATTCCTCTCTTCCACTTACTATCGTCTCCGTCATCCATCAACTCCGCCTTCTGTAGATTACCAACACTCCCCAGCATAATCTTTAGTTTCTGAGAGGGCAGGGCAAGGTCACGTGACTTGTAACATTTGGTGCGACTTATGGTCAAGTTTGATAGAAGCATGCTAAGCGAGGCTGTAGGTTGGTGGGAGTGAGTGGAGACTAGTTCCACTGAGGCAGTGCGGGCTCTAGAAGCTTGGTAAAACAAAATGATCAACAAGGGCATGGCGAAATGGTACAGGGATAAGGAGAGTGCTCGGATTAGGAGGGTCGGGAACACTGCCAAGAGTGGTTTTAATGTGGGGAGATGAGAGCTGTATCGTGCATTTAACCACTTTACTTAAGAACTTGTGGTTTCAACATACGGTGGTAATGACTAATGAGAGCAATTATTAGTATTATTAGCTGCTGTTTATGAGCTTATGCAGTGTGACGGAGCTGAGGCGACTTCTCTCAAAAATTACCGTCATTACAGAAACTCTTGTCAGGAAAATCAGTAAGTGATGGGTATTATGTATGTGAAGTATGTGTAGTTAGTCGTCAGGTCCAGGGGACTACTTTCAGCCGAATAAGAGATTCTTATGACAGACGATACTAATAGTTTACCGTGATAAAATTCGACAGCAAATTGCTACGTCTACTATGCAATGGACGTGAGCTTTTTTGGCAGTCAGGTAAGCCGAGAGATTCCCTATGATTATTCATAAAATGGAGAGCTTCATTATGTCAATGTCATTTAAAAGCGAACTTTAATTTCGAGACATGTGCGTCAAGTGGAAATTAATCAATTAATTGATAATTGTTTTATTTTATCAATTGTGGTCAAGGGAGTTAAATGTGAAAGTTGGTTCAGAAATAAATATTTTTAAACGATCAATCGAATTTTTTTGCGCTTTGAAAGACAACTTTGGACGACATCCTTACCAGATAGTTGCCTTTTATAGGTACAGAACAGCAATATTATTCGATATTCAATAAGCTAATAAGCTAACGGTAGTAAAAAACAAATGTCTGGTCGCAGTAGAAATTACAACATAAAACAAAAAATCTTGAAGTAAGTGTCGATTTATTATCACTCACAATTACCTTCTTATCAGTAGAATTTAAACATCAATACCGATTACTGATAACCGTGAATTCGAGTGTAAATTAAAATCTGGTTACATAAAGTCGATTTAGCTTTGAAAATATTAAGCATTACATCAAGCCACGAAATACTGAGAATATGATTTGCGTGTTTTTTGCAATTTAAGCTTCTTTAAAAACACAATCATGCTCTTGTGATTAATATTTTTAGTAAGGGGAAACGTCCACATTATGGCCATTGTATGATACGTAAATGACAGCGTCTCAACTGCTCGTTTAAAAACATTCAGAAATTGATCTGGATAATACACATATTACCTATGCAGGTTGTTTCGCATAATTTTTGACAAAACCAAACTTCACGATATATGATTAATATCAACTAATGTAAGTGATCAAATGCGCTTAGATGCAAGGTTAGCGCATTTAAGAACAAAGTTTATTCTAATCTTGTGTTCCCGCTTTGAGCAAGATGAGCTCATTTAAGATCTATGTTACTGATACAAGCTTACAATGCTGAAGGCATAAAATTTCATATTAACCAAGAAAACATGCAGCATGAGCAAGGGTGCAATTTACGTTCATACTGATAAAATGATTCATTATGCCACCAGTGTTACCAAAGTTCTTTGTCAGAAAAGGCGAGTATCTTTTCGAGATATAGCAAAGACCAAACCAGTGAAATTAACTATTAAAGTAGTAAGAATTTAAGATCCTACCTCCCAATTAACGCTGCTAGATAAGTTCAGTATGTGCAGCGTGACCGGCCCCTTCATTGGCTTCACTTGTTTGTTCGCCAGTTCTACATCAAGAAGCAGGTTGTTGGAACTGTCAAGCAACTCTGAAAAATGAACAGCTGAAATTCGGGCCTTATTCTAGAAATTGTGGTGTTAGTTTATGCAACTTTATAGTTAACATTTTTTTGAAAATGTCCTACCTCCTAATTAGTTACGTCATCATTTCGTTGAACGAAAAACAACCAGTCTAAATAACGGAAACACACAAGAGGATTAAATAGTAAAAAAACTCTTATTAGTATCATCAATCAACATTAGTAGAAGAATGTTACAGCCCCAACAACTAAGTAAACAAACCCTTCTCGTGTTTGATCGCTGACTCAGCAGATCTGGGATCATGGTATTCCAAAAATGCAAACTTCCCTTTCAGTAATATCTGAAGAGATAAAGTGGCAACTTCATGAAGCAACAAGTGCAAGATAAGGAGAACCATTCAAATTGTAACGCCACTGGTATAATTGTAATACAGAATGTAAATTTTATTAATACATTCACATCACTCTGTTTTTGTCGAAACATTGCTGTTTCCAGAATGGATTAAAACATGAGTCATTATCGTTCAGTGATCATCATCGCCAGGTAGCGTAGTTGGTTGATCATCGGATTTGTAATCGTAAGATTGCCAGTTCGAATCCCACTGCCTGCCTAGTCGTGGGGTGAGCGTCGTTGACGCTCTGCTAAGGGTCCCGAGTGGTCTATGTAGCCCCACGGTTCACTCAGCCGAATGCTCGAGAAATCTGGTGTGAGGGTTAAATGAGGAGCTGTGCTTGATCAACACAGCGAAGCCTCGGGCGAAGAAAGTGTGGCATATTGCCTTAACCGTTGCTGGCCTTAGGAACGATCCTTCGGCTTCTTGTAAAGCTCTTCCTTGAAAGTGCTGGTTTACATTGTAATGCAGGTAATGCCGAAGTAAAATAACAAAGGTGGTCGACTCATTCGATGGCCTTGTTGCGTCGCAACGAATCCTCATAAGATAAGATAAGATAATTACAAACCTCTTTTATCTTTCCATGGTTTTCAAATCGGTTTCTTAAAAAATCTTCTGAGCAATCATCGGGTAAGTTTCCAATATATAACTGTGTCATCTTTAAAACTGAATCCGGCGGCTTTGATATATAACTAAAGAGTAGTGAGATTAATAATATTAAAATGGATTATACTCAATCCATTCATGACTAACTAAACAGCCAGAAGCTCCGCCCTTTTCGTAAATCTAATCTTATTCTGGGTTGCGGTAACAGGTAACAAAACATATCATGGTTTAGCTATGCATCTGTTTAATAAAAATGTAGATGTTAACTGAAGCGGGGAACTCGAAGCTACACTGCTGATACAATTAAACCTCCAGAGTCGACACCGGGAAGGAAGATAAAAATGGCAACATAGAACATCAAAAGTCGAGAGCTTTCGACGTAACTCTGAACTCGAATCACACAAATCATTTTACTGTAAAATCCTTTAGAAATAAACTGTTGGGATGAAGTGCGAAATTTCCTCGTTTAACCAATAACCGGTCGATTAGATTATTAGATTAATAATAATGACATAAAGAAGAACTTGCAACGAAACCAGAGAAGAAATCGGTCAATTTGTGTGCCTGTAGTCTGACATCTGCATAGTGGATACGAGAAATCGAAAAGGTTCTGCAAATAATCGAGAACCAAATAACTGAATCCAGAGATGAAAGAATTTACATTTCCTAACGGTAGGCTCCACTCAAGGAGTTTGGCCAATTAACACAAGACACGACGGAATGGCGACCTGAGTGTAGACAACGCACCGACTATCGATCACAAAGCTTCCAATCATAGCGCGCCCAACTGCGCGCGTGACTTGTCACGTGGGCAGGAACAGACCTATGAGTAGGCGGGAAAATGCGTGTACGGAGTCAGAGAGAACTTAGAATTACTACCTGATCAAGTGTATCGATGGTGCTTTGACTTTTACACGCGGGCCTCTTTGCATACGATTTCCGGTCATGTAGACTAGGAGACAACTTTAAATTGAGATCCTCCTCTATTTTATTTATACCTGAAATGTTCAATATGCTGTATTAACGTTAATTGTTAATGCAATGAATTAATTAAAAGAGAGAGAACTCACAGAAAATCACAAGCGCAAGATTTGGTATTACAGCATCAATGAAGTAAATGCGATCAGTAAGTAATGATTCTGGATAACTCATAACTGTGGAACTGGAAGTTAATCAAGTACCTTTATGCTACTCAGTTGTTTAAGATGTGGTCCGTTAAAAGTCACCAATTTTCTGTGTTACTTCAGTAACCTATTGTCTTTAGCTTATGCTTACGTTGGGGAGAATACACGTCAGCAGTCATGTTCGTTAGTTGCAGTCACCCCAAAGTAATGATGTGATAATTATTACACTGTTACAGTTGGAAGTAGTTATGGAAGCATGAAAACGATGTACCCGCTTGTGACTCAAAGCGGGTCGCCTCGAGCCTAGAGGTACATCGTTTTCATGCTTCCATGACTACTTCAAACTTTAGTAACCTATACGGATACCTGTAGAATGTTATGTAATGGTTTTTACTTTTTATCAAAACGTTCTATTTTAATTTTACTTTTAGTGGCGACAATTCATTTTAATCGACAGAAAACTGCACGATGTCAATTCTTGGCCACCCAGACCCTAGTATCTTCAAGTTCAATTATTTAGTAATTCGTCATTCGGTAACTGGTAACGCAAACGGTAATTTGTCTAAACCGACTCGGTTTAGTAAATCGATGCAAATTATTGCTAAATAATGTTACGATTTTCTTGAATTTTACTTTTCCGGTTCAAAATTTAATAAACTCAACTGATAACAGCTGTCAGCTGAAATAATAATGAAGGAAACAAGTTTTTTCACCTTCTGACCGTAAAGTGCTTGGTTGTGGAAAACATTCGATATTATTATTATTGTTTGACTCGGACGTCCGTGGCAGCGTATGAGAAATCATCTTCAAATACTCAAATTTGTAGCGTTTTCATTAACCATCGCTGATCAGCGAACTCAATTTCAATTTCAATTTCACCGCATACTTTGTCATCTGTACTCAAGATTAATTTTTAAGAAAGTTTTGGAAACACAGTTTTAAATTTTTACTCCAAACGAGTTTTCATAGTGTGTTGCCACAGAGCGCTGTGATTTGTTGTTCAGTGCCGGTACAGTAGCTTTTATTCCATGTCGGGGGTTGTTTTTGAACAGCATGCCAATGCCATTTGGGGCCAGGCCATTGCACATTGAGAATTTTCCATGTGTGGATCAAAATGTACCTTTCTCGACGTATATAGGGCATAGCAGCTTCATAGCAGCTACATAGTAAAATAAAAAAGACGTCATCTTAAGATGTTTGTGAAAAACAATTAAATGAAAATTGTATAACAAATAATTGACATATTATAGCGTCTCTTCCTACAAGCTTCACATCTGCTGGTATTCGGAGAAAACGTAATAATGACAGTCAAAGTTCATTTATCTTCTTATCTGTCCAATAAGAATCTGATCATCTAGAATCTATCTTTAAGTTTTGGGCGAGGTTGGTCAACAACATCAGGATAATTATAAAGCTAACATCCTTTCAAGTATGTACATTATATTAACTGTTTGGAAAAGAGATGAAGAAGCAAATCATTTCCTTTTTCATAACTGGTATCGATTTCGTTTCATTAAAAACCTTCAAATATTTGAATTGGCGTGGATTTTTTCCGAGGGCAGAATAAATATGTGTCGTTACGTGTCCACTCCTAGCCAGCCAGCGTACAGATATGTATACGCTGATTTCTATCAGTATCACGTGTCGAGGAAAAAAGACTCGAGCCCTCCGATGACAGCCACACCTTTTCGGAAATATAAAAATATAACTCATTAAATTAAACCTCTAGATTTCTGGCAAAAAATAAATAAATCATTCATTTGAAAACGTCTTAGATCTTAACAAATACCATTTTAAAATTTGCTTTAGAAATAACCTGCCGTTAGGTCATTCCTACATTATCATTTATCATTTATCATCATTATACAACCCAATTTAATCGTTCGCGCCATCGGTGATTAAATCGGTGATTACGTCATAGTTTCTTCTTCTTCTTCGTAACATATCAGTTTGTCTCGCTTGATTTTAAAATCAATAAATTAGAAATATTCCATCGTCTAATGTACTTATGTACAGTCGGTATTTTCATTTCCCAAATAGAGATGAAACTCTTCGTTTGAAATTAGGCGTCTGTTTTTCTGGCTCTGATTTTGGCTTTACCTCTCCGTTTGTGTTCATACTGAAGACATTTTTGATTAGCCGGATCGTAGAATGAGAGTCAACAATTTTAAACGAGACAATTTATTTCACGATTGAAATTTAGTAGCAATAAGAGCAAGGAAAGTGATCAACTGTATAGTAAATTGGCAGTACTTTTTCAGAGTGAATATTTGCTGGAGCATCAAGTCTTGTTGTTCCTGGAGCCCATCTCTATCCGCCAAATGCTCCATCAGCTCCGAATTAACCTCTGCAAATAAGTAAGTATTTATAATTGGCAATAGACTGCTAATTTCTTATTAGCGAATCAACCAGTAATTATAACATTTATCAGCCACAATACAAAAATTTGTACTGTAAATGAAAAAATGACAACTATTCTTGCAATGAAGATTTTCTTATATCTCCCAACCCCGGGAGTCGGGACTCGAAAAATTGCTTCCTTCAAAATACAAAGAAATTGCACGGGAGAGTTCACATATTACGTAATCAGTGTCACTGACGGTGAGGGAGGGGTTTACGAATGATTGCGCTAGTTTTATTTCTACACTTAAGCTAGGTGTAAACGTGATTACGTAGGGTGATCTAATGATGGAAAAGAAGTTATTACGTAATAAGTGAACGGTACCTGACAATATCTAAATAATATGCATATTCTAAATATCCAAGTTTAATGACAAAATAATTACAACACTGAGACATATACTTATATACTATATATTTGTGCTACATCTAAAATGTTTTATATAAACAAGCAAATGCATTAATGCAATGCCAAATCAATAAAAAGGAAAATATGAAAAACTACCATACATGGTAGTGCTATCATGGTAATGTTTCCATAAAAGGCAACACAACCATGATAGCATTACCATGTAAGGTAAAACCGCAGGTAAAATGATAGTACTCACTGGAGAAGTTGCACTGCATAACATTCCTCCAGTTCAGTAACTGTTGAACCGTCATGAGATGAGCGCTGTTGGTCCAGCCCTGTTTCAGCTCGCTCATGTCGGGCTTGTCTCCACCTCCGTAGCTCCGGGGTCGCTTGCTCGGTGAGGTGTCTGCTCTTAGCTGGGGTGGTGGGCTGGTTATAATGGGGCACTGACAATTGACACGGGGATTGGTATACAAATCAAGAATTATACGCTCGACGGTTACATTTAGATTTAGATCATGGATAAGAATTGATCAATAAATTGTTCAGCGTTTCGTGACAGAATTATGCATCACTATTACTATTTCAGTTCTTATAGTTATACATAAGTAGCTGATCTATAACAGTAGACAATAAAATGGACAAGTCTATATTTCTGTGTTCTCAACTGTGCATTAGTTATTACTGCGAAAACCCTCAAAATGTTAGACCGTTGAAACAAGGAAGAAATCACGACCACACAAATATACATTTGTAATCTTATTCTTAGTTGCACGAGCACGGCCAGAAATATCTTAGCTTTTCCTGCTGGTCAATCAGAACAATCCATCATCTCAATTACAATGTGAGCTACTTATTACTTAACTACTAATATTGGTGGCAATAAAATTACTTTCTGCAGACTACAGTAATGTTGAGAACGAATCGACAAGAGGAGAATGGCAATATCCGTGATCAACATTTAATTTGTACATTCATGTGTGAGCGTATAGACATAGTACATAACTGGAGCATTAATATTCTCGAGAGCATGCAGGTTAGTAATAGTTACTAGGGCTGATTTGAGATATTGTTGCTGGATCTTATTCCCATATACCGTAGTAAAAAAGCTGAATTATTATTACATTGATATATATTTAGAACGGCTATTAATTAATAATTACCAACAACATAAGAACAATTTTCTATAAAAGGAAATGGTTAAATTGGATGCCGGCAATTAAAGCAAGAATTTCGACTTGGATGCAACAAACAATAACTTTAGCTGCCCTTTAATTATACATTAATTAATTTCCCCCTTTTCTATCCAAGAAATGGCGTAAAATATAACCTTAGACTAGAAATAATACGTATCATAATAATGGAACAAGGTTTGCCGATAACAATCAAGTATGAACAATATGGTGAAACAATTGAACTCACCTTAGAGGATGCGATATTGCTCTCGCTTAAGCACTGCGAGGTTTTCGTGAGCTGCTTGTTTTGAGGGATAACGTCCGGGAAATCATTGATACTGAGACCTTTGAGATCCTCTGACACATCCTCGGCATCATCCGAAACTTCCTGGGGTGAAAACAATTAGTTTATCAGACCAATTCGAGCCTGCACATATAGTCAACACGTGTCGTTAATTTGTTAAACAACCTCAGCTTATGTCTCTGTTTAAACCGATAAAAAGGGTAAACATTTCCGCCTCTAAAATTGCTTGTGTTGTTGAGAATTTCGAGATCATATAAGATCAGAGCGCCTCTCGGCCAAAGTTTAGGGCACATTAAGTTATTAAACAAGTAAACTTGTTCGTTTGTTATGTTAGATTTCCCACGAGAACAACGTTTAACAGAGATCGTCAGTCTATCTGCTATCAACGAGTTTGAAATATTTTATAATATATGTTTAAATACCACAAAATAAAGATAAGGGAGATGGTAGAGCACTAGATGGCACTGCATCTAAATTCCGACCAATCTATTAATGTTTAATTGGAAATTTCAGGTTCTCAAGGTAGTGCGAGTTTTTTTTGTCTCGTGTCAACTGTCAACTAACTAATTAGCTTGTGAGACAAGCAAGTAAAGTACGGAAATACGAGTAAAAAACTTGCTTCACATCAGGACTTCGGCCAACCTGTCAACTGTCAAGCTTATAATTTATATGAACAAAGCTCACCTCAACAAAGCACATCTGAACAGCAGCAGGTCGAGTGAGAACGTCCCTTCTGTCAGGTGAAACTTCCTCCACCCCTGTCCAGACACTGGGTCTGGGAAGGGAGCAGGAGCTGCCCCGGGTATCGTCCTCAAATCCACTGTCACACACGTGGCCCGTGCTTCCCAGACTCCCCTCCGAGACTCGGGACTCCAGACTCTGACTGGAACACAGTTTGACTGGTCTAGCTTCTTCCTCTTCAACTTCTTCTTCTTCTTCTTCTTCTTCCTCGTCGGAAGAGTCTATGTAGTAGGGGTTATCGAAATCTTCCCTCAATTCCTTCTCGAACACATACGATGTTTGAATGAGAGGTCGTTTAGCTGGAATTGGAGTTTCAAACTCTGACAAGGCACCGATCGTGCCTGAGTCACTTTTATCTGATTCTAACTCTAACGTATACTCTGAGTCAATCTCGTTAAACAGAGACATGTTGTTGTTATTGGGAATTATTTTCCGAACGATCTGATTGGAAGACAGGTGTGAGATCCTGGGTGAACCAGAGAAAACCATGCTGGTAGTAGATATAGAGTATTGGTCACAGATGCCTGGGAAGTTTTCTTCTAAAATTGAGACGAACGTTGGGTCGAAGTCAACCGGCACGCGCGTGCTCTTACTCTTCCATCGTCTCCAGTGTCGCTGGATGCTAAAAAGGAAAAACAAATTAGCTTTCATTTACAAATATTTATATAAATCTCATTTATTTTCAAACTGAATACATAATAAGATCAGCCCAGATAAATCTAAATGTTACGATGACTATATCGTTATTTCAACAAGGATTGCGATCATAGTCAAGAAGACTATCATTTATAAAGAGATAGATAATATTAATACATAATGTGCAGAACGGATTTGCAGACTGACACATTGACATTATTTGCACAACTTTGTGATTAACTACATTAATTTAATCAACTTGTGATGTAATGAGACAGTCATTAGATATGTGACAGTCAAATTGGCGATATAACAACATATTGCGCTTGTTTACTTTAATTTTAATATTTGTGAAATTCATAATTACAAGGCATTTGCTCTCTAAATTTAAACTAGGAAGTTTAGCGTGTTGCAGATGTTTAAAAAACTAACGGATATTCGTAAAACAACAATAATACAACCGGTGTTACATTTAATGTAATATGTCCAATATCGACGTCATAAAATGCCCCTTATCGCCCTGTCATCAGCCACATAATATATCCTTGAATTCACGTTAGTTACAGACTAATGTTTGTGCACATATGACCAAGCTCTGTACATTTCTTGTGACCACAGCCCCCTGCGAAGAGAAAAGTGGCCACTGGCCAAGTTCTGCATCTCTACCTACCCTTATATAATATATATTAGTCCAATATGACATCACAAATAAGCAAAAAAACAAGGTGCGCAAACCATAAAGTAAAATAACAGCTCATTAACTTTTTCTTTCTCTAGGTTAATGTCAGTACAACTTGAAACTGTTGAAAACTTCCCAGAGGCAAAGTAAAACAAATTTTTGAGGCCTTGCATGTAACTTAAAATTTATTTAGTACCAGAAGGATTCCTAGAAAGAAGAAACCGCTGCAATCAACTTGCAAGAGACAATTTCTTACACCCAAGACCAATCCCAGAAGACTTTTAAACCCGGAAACATATGTCAGATCCAAATGATTGCGGTCTCAAAAGCAGGACGGTGGTAAAACACTGCACGTTGTTTGTCATTGAATGAAGTAATGGCCACGGTCGACTTTAGGTGATGACAGGGTAGAATGTAGTCATACATTATGCAGTAGTAATACTCGTGTGAAATATACAGTGTATATCACGACATGGCACACGAATATCACAAGTAATCAAGACTGAGTTCAAAAAAGAAAATTGAAGGGCAAAATACCAGGGTGAAGCTGGTACGGATGGGGTGGGGGAAAATATAATTATGATGAAGGGAGGAAGAAAAATACAAAACCACACTAAAAAGGATATCTCATTCTCTAAAAGCGGTTCAAGTTTTAGCTACTTAAATTATAAGTAGTAGTTCTAGTCAAGACTGTCTTGAACCATTACTGAACTAAATTCATATTAAATCTATTAAACTGTTTAAAGATGCGCAGTCTGGACATTTGATGCTTGACAACACCTATAAATCACAGAGAGAGCGACGTCTTTTAAAATTAACGTTAATATTCGATAAGAAACCGTAAAACGTTCATCAAAGAAGCTTGTCAAAATTTCAAACTGAGACCAACTCAAGGACCAAGGTAGGTAGTGGTAATATAGCTATCTGCTGTCTTCCACACCACTTGACAAGTCGAAAAGGTTGTCGGATCACGCAATCATACGGTCTAACCGCTTTACTCCACACGAACTATAACATTTGTCACAGCAAGGTGAAAGACCTAGCAAGCAGGACTTGCTGCATGTCCTGCAAAGAGGGACCCTGCGTTTAGAGATTACACCACGTGATCAAATGTAGGTCACGTGGTTGGAATATGCTGTCACGTGAGTGTAAGTGGGACCCACGTGGTTCGCTGGTCGACAGTTTGGTGAGTTTATCCTTTCAGCTCTGACTGTTATTCTAGTCAACGTGATTGATTTGAACAGTAGACATGGGTGTTGTTGGACGATCAAATTTCTGAAAGTGATGAAATGATTCTTTTTAAAAGCTCATTTAAATGGTTCGAACAGAGTGCGGATTAGCAGATAACTGCTAGTGTTAGTCAGGTAACAATCAACAGTTACAAACGTTAGTCGCATCAACCTTTGACGGCCATCAACCGTTCAACAATACTTTTGTAACCACGCATTGTGTGGATACACAACAAAACTAATCAAGGCAACAACCAGGTAGTTTGAGGCTAGCAGCTAGCAGCTGCACTACTAATACATGACATATTTGTTGTGGACCACACGCAAGTCACCACGATAGTCCGCTGGACCTGTCAATATTAGGCGAGACTACAACAACCTTACAGCTCGACTATTATAAAAGCGTAAAAACAATGGGCTAGCTTCAATTACTACCCTTCCCTTCAGGCCAATAGCACTCCAAGAAAACTCGCAACGTTTTGTACGGGAGAGACCGTAACAAAATTTAAAAGAGAACGCTAAATGAACCATGAGAGGGCAGTGACGGACGGTAAAATTTACAAAACGCAGTGTTCTATGACATATATCACATATATCGAGAGTTTGTCCATATACGGTAGCAGCGATCAGGGAAACATGACCAGACATTATCAGGTAGGCATCCCGACTATGACGTTAAGAAGCAATGATAATGTTATTAATCTCACAGTGCTCGAGCATTACTTAGTTAGTTGTCTATTATACACAAGGTTGTTAAATACGTATTAGGAGGGAATACGTATTGGAATACGAATACGTATTCCTCCTTGAAAATTGACGTATTACGATTCAGGGACGTAGCCAGGATTTTTCTTTGAGGGGGGCTGTCGGCGAGCGAAGCGAGCAAGCTGTGGCAGGGGTCTGGGGGCGCAGCCCCCAGCGGGGTCCAGGGGCGGAGCCCCTTGGCGGGGGCTAGGGGGGCATAGCCCCCCGGAAATTTTTTGCGAAACAGGGTGTTTTAGACGACATTTGGTATTAAAGAAATTTGTAGGACAGCAATAAACTGGGATTGAAAAGAATCAAGTACTCACGTAAATTTGGTAACTTCACAACAGCAATCTGCATTCTCCAATCAGAATTTACGACTTACTCAGGCCCCATCGTCTTAAGATTTTTACATTTCCTACGGTCTAGGGGACACTATTGACTATTTATAGAAGTCTTCTAGAATCTTAGAATGTTTGCTTGGATGTTATGACAGATATTTACTAATCCACAGTTCAAATCTTTGACTGACTGCAGTCATAAACACAGCCCAGTTACCAGGCGACCATGGGGACTAGGGGGCTTATCTTTTTTCTGGGGTTCGATTTTTTCCGGGGGGGGGGGGGGGGGGGGGCGCCGCCCCCCTAGCCCCCCCCCTGTCTACGTGCCTGTTACGATTATCCATGAAATTTGATTACAAATTTAAGTTATCATGTATAACTGCACTCCTTTAATGCATGATCAATGATGAGGGTGGCGCGCAGCTGTAATGTTTAATTTTGACAAATCAGCGTATTACGGCGTATTATGGCGTATTCGTGGACGTATTTAACAATCCATAGAAATTACCGTATTCCGGCGTATTACGACGTATTCTTTATTAGAACCGAATACGTCGTATTCTTTCACGAAAATTTGACGTATTTAACAACCTTGATTATACAAGCTAGGGGGTAGGTAGTGTTGTATTTAGTGTTCTGAGGAACTGGTGGGGGTAGCTTGGGGGTTATTATCTGGTAGAGGATGCTAGGACCGGGCTGATTGAAATTAATCAGACTTCAAGTTAGGAGGAAGTTGGTGACAAGCCGGGTTTGTAATGAGGTAGGCAAACTGCAGAGCTGGTGCTTTGAATTAGCTCTCAGCTCAAATCTTGTTCTGACCACTCAAATCAAAATAACCGAAAGGAATCTAAAATATTCAACATAGGGTAAACGAAAGATAGTTATTCTCAAGGAATCATGTCTTGACTCACATTTAGGCATTAACAATTGTCACTCAGGTGACACGTCAGTAGAAAAAATCTCCGATCCAGTGATTAAATAATAAAATATGGCGACTATTTAACTATTTATAGAAATTCAGACAAATCGTAATTGCACATGATAAATCCCCACCAAGATTGATTGTCACAACTCGAAAATTGGAACTGAGAACGGCACGAGTCGCAAGTTTGTGTTACAAAGTTTCGTTATCATGAAAAACAAAATAAGGACCGAAAGCGGACGGTATAAAACCGAGAACTATTTATAAACTTTAGTTGCAGATGAATTTACAATCTCCGAACCATACAATAAGCAGAAAATAACACTTTTTGATAATAAAACTTGGCGAATTGCAGCGATATTAATCTATTAATGGACAAGTCACTATATTTTACGTGGGCAAACGATCCAGAAACCTACGAGAACTTAAAATTGAAGTTAAACTGTTCAAGCATATTTCCCTTGAACTCAACAACTGAGAGTAATTTTTACTGGGCAGCGCTCAGCCGCGCCTGTTAATCCGCAATATCTTCATTTGGTTTATGAACAGTGCCCAGTTAAAGTAAACCTAGATAAATGGAACGGACCAAGAACATTTAGAGGGTTGCAAGAATAAGAGAATAATTCTAAGAAAGAATTAAGAAACAGAACTAATACACCAATAATAAAGCCTTCGCATGACTACACAGGAAAGTTAGCAAGGAAAGTTTACCAATACACCAATACGTCAATAATCAACCTTATACAAGTCTGCAAAGGAAAAGTGTCAGAGGGCCCGCAGAGGACACTCTACCGGACGCGATGTGGGGTAAATTAGATCACGATGTAAACGTTATATATATATCAAGAAGTGATGTAATTAGAGTGGGTTGTGGGACACTGCTAATGTTTCCCGCTACCTCGTCTATCAGCTTCCCGTTATAACCAGTTTAACAACACCTTACATTAAAACCTAATTAGTTACCTGATAGTAATTAGATGTGTTATATGAATCAGGGAAGTTCGGGGGACAATGGGCCTGCTGGGAAAGCTACAGGAGCAAGAAGGGTTCAAAGCAACAGGAGACCGACAG